CCACCTAGACCCTATCTAGCCTGAGTCTCCAGATTCCCATCTGTGCACCTCAGTTGTAGCTAAGTATCCTGACCCTGATTCTGCGCCTCTCAAAACCTAGGAGGCATTTAATTCTCAAACGTCCAAATCCTGCTTTCAGAATTTTATCCTGTGCTCCCCCACCATCACTAAGATGGTCTCATAACTTCATGAGACCATCATAACTTAGATGGTCATCCAAGGTTTCCGGACTCTCGCCCAGGCATAAAATTAATTGTCCTTCTCCCTCTGCCCAGGAGCTCCACGGCCTCCAGGTGATCTCTCTACTCTGGGCACTGCTTCCCCTGAGCCTGCCTGCGCAAAGTGACCCTAGGATGGGGCGAGGGCAGCAATTGTCTTGGCCCGAAAAGAATGGAAGCCCCCGACTTGAACTTGGGCCCGGAGGACACTAAGGCCCAGTGCCAGCCCTTTCCCGACCCTCTTCCCACCCAGGTCCCCCACCCAGTTTCCGCCTCCGTCCCCAGCAGAGATCATGCCTTGAGGGCGGAGTCTGGGTGCCTTAGCTCCCAGGAAGGGGCGAATGGGAGGGACTTCGCGTTGCCCACGTCTCAGGGCGGGACTAGACGGGAAAGGACAGCGTGTCCAAGGTTCCTATGCCTGGCCAGTACTGCTTGAGGCAATAGCCCTACCTTCCTTTCCCCTACCCAACCTCTTCCCAATTTTATTTTTGGAGAGAGTTCTTTCGAGACAGGTTCTCACAAAGTAGCTCTGGCTGTTCTGGAGCTCGCGCTGTAAGACCAGGCTGGCCTCAAACTCACACCTTTGCCTCTGCCTCCCAGGTGCTGGAATGAAAGGCATGTGTGCGCACACTACCATGCCCGGCTCTGCTATGATTAAAAAAAAAAAATTCTGCTTCATTTCATTTAATTGTCTGTGAGACAGGATTTCTCTGTAGCTTTGGGACCTGTCCTGGACCCAGCTCTTGTAGACCAGGCTGGCCTCGAACTCACAGAGATCCTCCTGCCTCTGCCTCCGAGTGCTGGGATTAAAGGCATGCAGCACCACCACCCGGCTGTGTAGTATATTCTTGTGCCTATGTACAAGTGGAGGCTATTATTGCTCTCCACCTTCTGTGGAGGGTTTGACCCTGGATCTGGAGTTCACGACGTCAGCTAGACAAGACTGGTTGACCAGTGTGCTCTCAGGACCTGCTGGTCTCCAGCTCCCTGGCCCTCCAGCACTTGGGTTACAGACAGGCATCACCACCACAATCGGCTCTTAACACTAGTGCTGTGGATCTGAGCTCAGGCCCTCCCTCGTGTTTGTAGCAAGCACTTTACCCACCGAGCCATCTCCCCAGCTTCCACTGCCTTTTTTTTTTTTCCTAAAAAGGCGTGCTGATGGCACACGCCTTTAATCCCAGGACTTGTGAGGCAGAGGCAGGCAGATTTCTGTGAGTTCGAGTTCGAGACCAGCCTGGTCTACAAGGACAGGCTTCAAAGCTGGAGAAACCCTGTCTTGAAAAACCAAAAAAAAAAAAAAAAGATGTGTATGTGTGTGCATCTGTGTATAGGTGTGTACCCCCGAGTGCAGGTGTCCACAGAGGGCAGAGATGTTCCCTGGATCTAGAGTTAAAGGCAGTTGTGAGCTGCCTGATGTGGGTGTTGAGAACAGACTCAGGTCCTCTGAGGAACACTGGAGTCATTTCTTCAGTCCTGTCTTAGTTTGTCTTTTACGCAGTAGAGGGCTAGGGTGTAGCTCAGTAGCACCCTGCTTGTTTAGTACAACCAAGATGCAAGGTTCAGTTCCAGTAACACCCCCACACACACACACACTGAAGTAAAACAAAGCACAGAAAAGAAAAAGGAGAGGAAAAAGTGTGGGGAACGGATGAAGTCCCGAGTGAACATGTATTATTGATAGTACCACAGTCATGTCAGAAACGTGGGAATGGCAGGGCGTTCTCCATGTCAGGCTCAGAGGAATGGCAAAGGCCTTACGTGAGTGAATACAGATGCTGACCTTGTGTGCATTTTGCAAGCCCAGATGACTGCATCCTGAGACTGCTCCCTTGCAGAGACCCCTGAGGAGATTAGCTAACTCTCCTCCTCCAGTTCAAGAGATAAACTGTCCTGAGTTTCCAAGGCTGCTGGTGTGTCCCCTCAGAACACATGGCCCACCAGATCCCTAGGGTTTCAATGTGCATGTCTGCTATTTCTTCATTCCCCATTGCCCAATCAGGCCAGTCTCAAAGCCCTGCTGGTGGAGACACAGAAGGAGAAAGAAAAATAAATAAAAGAAAAAGGGCCGGGCCACACGCCTTCAATCCTACCACTTGGAAAGTGGAGGCAAACAGATCTCTGTGAATTTGAGACCAGCTTGGTCTCTAAAGAGAGACCCTGTCTCAAATATATAAATACATAAATATATATAATATATGTGTAATATATAAACCTTTTTAATATTTTAATATTAAAGTTAATATTTAATATTAAAGATAAATTGAGGTTGGACAGTGGTGATGACTTAATCCCAGCACTCAGGAGGCACAGGAAGGCAAATCTTTATGAGTTCAAAGTCAGCCTGGTCTACAGAGTGAGTTCCAGGACAACACAGTGAGACCCTGTATTGAAAACAACAACAAAAACAAAAACAAAAAACCCAATTTAAGGTAAATTGCATAGTAAGTGATTTATGTCTCAGTTAATCTGTTTGTTAGTGCTGTTTGAAACAGAGTCTCACATTCCCCACACTGGTCTGGAACTTACTATGTAACCAGGCTAGCCTTGAACTCATGACAAGCCTCTTGTCTCAGCCTCCCATGTGCTGGAATTACAGGCATGAGCCACCATAACCACACACTAAAGTTGTTATTAATTCAAATAAAAACTCCTGATTATCGAGACCTAACCATCCCAGGGAGGCACTGGCAAGGACACTCTGTGATCCTCTTGTCAAGCCAGAGCTGGGACGCCACTGCTACTCCACTCCACAAATGACAGGGCTGGCAGATTTGTCCTCAGTGTCACCAAAGTAACAAGAACAATGTTAGAATCAAGTCCCCCTGACTCTAAGACTGAACCTTGTCCCATGTTAGAATGAGAAGGAGCAGGCTGGAGAGATGGCTCAGTGGTTAAGAATGCTGGCTTCTCCTCCAGGGGACCTACCTGGGTTCAAATCCCAGCACTCACATGGCAGCTCACACCTATCTGTAGCTCCAGTTCCAGGGCTTCTGACACCTCACACAGACATACATGCAGGTCAAACACCAATGAACATTAAAAAAAAAAAAAAAAAAGCAAGAATGAGTAGTGAGGTTTCTGGGCTCCCAGCCCAGCCACAGCTGGTTGCTGGGCAGGAGCAATAGGATAAATATGAACAAGTGATCAGGAGGGAGAGAGCCATTCATCCCTTCAAGGGCTTGCTGAGTGGCCACTAACGATCAGAGGTCCCAGGCACCAAGGATACAAAACACATCAAAACCTGTCCTTGCAGAGCTTATGTCTGAGAGATGGAGGGGACAAGCAAAAAAGCCCCTAGCCCCTTCCTGTTAGCCCTCCACAACACAGGGCACCTATAGGGACCACACAGCACAAGATCCACTTGGGGGCATATAACTGAGCTCCAGGACCATTGGGTTAGTCATCTGTGGATACCCTATCTACTGCATTTTAATAAAAACAGCATTATCTTTTATGTATTTATTTTCATTTCTTTTTTTTTGTCAGCATTATTTTTGAAATAGTCCCCCAGTTTCCCGTCCCCAGGAGAAATATGGAGTTTAATGGAACATAACATAATATAATAATAACATAACATAATAAAGAAGAGAGAAGGTGGGAAGCAAGAAAATGAATGACTCCCAGGGCCAGACCCCTCCCCTTTCAGCTCAACCGCGGGCCCTGGAAAGCCAGCTCTTTGCACCTGTCTCTGGTCTTGACTACTGTTTCCCAGTCTGGAGGTTGGTGGGGGGTGGGGGAGAGCTTTTTTAGCCCAAGGACACACTCAGTATGGAGGTGGCAGCTAACAGGTCTGAAGGCCTGCCCAGCTCCCGGCCACACAAGTTTTGGGCTTGTTTTTTCTGTGATACTTTCTGTTGTCTTTCTTTCTCCTCATTCATAGACCATATCAAGGAAGAAAAATGGGACAGAAGCTAACTACAAGTTTTCAGTCAGTTAATATGCACTGATGTCTGTAACCAAAGAGCTCAGTCTAAGAAGGAAGGCCTGGAATTGAAGGTCTTCCCCATCTACCTAAGGAGTTTAAGGCCAGGCTGGGCTACAGTCCTTCTATTCCTTCCCTCACAAAAGAACCCTGAAACTTCCTGGCATGGTAGCCCTCGCCTTTAATCCCAGGACTCAGGCAGAGACAGGCAAGTATTTGTGAATTCAAAGTTAGCCTGATCTACACAGCTGGAGAGTTTCAGGTCAGCCAGGGTTCCATAGTGAGACCTTGTCTCAACAACATCAAATAAACAAAATAACCCAAACAAACTGAATACTCATTGAGCCTGCCCCACATTTCCCGATGATCTAGACACAGACAGATTGGATACTTCTGTGTGGTTGGGAGATGAGTGGGCAGAAGTTTGAAATGGCTCAAGGGGCTATAATCTGTTAACCTGAGGCTGGGGTCTCAAGCAGAGTAGGTTTCTTTAAGAAGGTGGCCCTTACATTGACTGAGTTTCACAGGGGGAGCAAGAGTGAGTCCCTAAAGGCTGCAGATCACCACTCGCTCCTGTCCAAACACCAGGCACTGTGGCTTGTCCTGTCTAAGTGTGCCATCATGGCGGTGATAGTGGCATCATCACTGTCCACTTAGATCTGCCGCCCTGTCTTCTTTAAGAGAGATTGGTCTTTATATCCCTAGAATTGTCTGGAACAGGGTAGCTAGGAGCTGCTATTGAAAAGAAGTTGGTGGGGGACAGTTAGCCAGCCAGGCGGGTGGAGGAGGGTCTACCCTCCCCCTCGAACCTGGTTTCCCCTCGTGGTTTCTCTAGCCCCGCCCTTTGCAACTTGGTCTACATAGCTTCCTGCCCCCCAGCACTCTTGGCTGCACCATGACACTGACTGTCCACCTCTCCTACTTTCTGGTCCTGTTGGCGGCAGGGCAAGGCCGCGACTCCCTCCTCAAGGTAAATGCTCTAACCTGCTCACCATGCCCTTCCCTGCCCAACCCGTGCCTGGGGTCTTCTCTTTATGAACTGGCACATTTTTCTTCTTTATTTTTAATTTTCTTAAGACAAGATTTTACAGGGAATGTTGACAGGCAGATCTCTGTAAGTTCGAGGTCAGCCTGGTCTACACAGTGAGTTCCAGGACAGACAGGGCTGTTACACAGGGAAACACTGTCTTAAAAAAAAAAAAAAAAAAAAGGTTTTACTTTGTAGCTCGGGTTGGCCTTCTTCTCTGGCTTAAAACTCTCAGCTGTCTTCCTGCCTCAACCTCTTAAATACTGGAATGAGCATTCAATTACAGGGGTGAACTGTCCTGTGTGACTTTTCCCTTCCCATTTCTCAGAGGGAGCAGATGAGGCTAACATGTGGTTGCTCACACTGAGAAAAGAGAATGCCTGGTGACCCCTTAGCCCTGTCTTTATACCTTGGTTGGGGACAAGGTTGGGTTTACAATGATTCTTTCCCACGCCGCTCCCCACTTTAACTCCTTGTCAGGATGCAGGTCCCCGACCACTGGAGCTGACAGAAGTCTTCAAGCTGTTCCAGACCAAGTACAACCGGAGTTACTCAAACGAAGCAGGTATCATGAGCACAGATGTTTCCAGTCCCATTTCCTGTCTACCTAAGAGATGACTTTATGGCGTGGGATGGGGAAAAGACCTGGCCCAGGCCAGAATGGGAAACAGGGCCCGCAGTGTACGCCTTGGCTTCCCCAAAGTATGGTGGGCACAGCATGATCCTCACTTGCTGTCACCCAGTCACCTGTGACTCCAGGCAGGGCGTGGAGGACCACCATCTAGTCACATTTCAGTCAGCAAATACCCAAGGACACTCATTTTGTCTCCAAGGTGGCAACTCCCTGTCCCCCATTCTTGCCCTGTTTATTGGCTCTCTCCTTCACTCTGGGGTTTCATCTCCCACAGAAGGCTCTTTCTCTCTGTGTGTGTGTGTATGTATGTGTTTGTATCTGTGTGTGTGTGTGTTTGTATCTGTGTGCATGTGCTATGCTCCATCCCCACACCCAGTCACTCACCCCCATGCCTGTGGTCAGATGTGTGAAGAGGTGGCAGGGAGGGTATAACCACAGGTACAGGAAACCCATCTCCAGCCATTTTAACTTTCCTTTTTTTTTTCAAAAAAAAGATTTATTTATTTATTATGCATACAACATGCTGTTGGCATGTCTGCCTACATGTCAGAAGAGGGCACCAGATCTTATTACAGATGGTTGTGAGCCACCATGTGGTTGCTGGGAATTGAACTCAGGTCCTCTGGAAGAATAGCCAGTGCTCTTAACCTCTGAGCCATCTCTCCAGCCCCAACTTTCCTTTCTGAGATACTGCCTATAGAGGTTTTATTCAGCTTCCCTCTAGAGTGGGCCTCTTGGTGCACTGGGGGAAATTCTAACCACATGTGGGCTGGATAACCACTTTCTCACAGTGGGGTGGTACTGGTGGGGGCTATAGGAAAGAGCCAGCACTCACCTGGGTGGGTGTGGGTGACCCAACCAGTGGCCACTTCCTGCCGAGACCAGCCTGCAAAAACCCCTTTCTGGTCTAGAGTATGCTCGCCGTCTGGACATCTTTGCCCACAACTTGGCCCAGGCTCAACGACTGCAGGAGGAAGATTTGGGCACAGCAGAGTTTGGGGAGACTCCATTCAGTGACCTCACAGGTACCAGACCCTCCTGGCCCAGAGGGGATGGGTGGGTGGGGTGTCTGGCAGATGGACAGAGCAAATCTCCCCCTTTAAAGAGCAGCCTGGGTGACTGCCCCAAATCTCAGAGCACAAGGCAGGAACTCAATGGCCTGTGTCCCAGCTTGGCTCACAGGCCAGGGGTGGAAGATGCAAGCTGAACCTCTCTAGGCCTCATCCTGCCTGATGCCTCTGAATGTTTCATAGGGATGGGACAAGCCAAGGTTGTGCCAGCTGGAAAGGGAGAATAAAGAAGTGTCAAATTTGTGACCTCCGTGACTTTGTTTGTCCCCAGAGGAGGAGTTTGTTCAACTCTACGGGCATCAGAGGGCGCCTGAAAGGATCCCCCACATGGTCAAAAAGGCAAGGTCTAGAAAGTGGGGGGGACCAGTGCCCCCCAGCTGTGATTGGCGTAAGGCAAAAAACATCATCTCATCCATCAAGAACCAGGTATCTGCCCAACCTGCCCTGAGTGGGGGGATGAGGTCCAGGCCTTGATACCTTACCCTGCCCCACCCTCTTCCCACTCAGGAAAACTGTGGGTGCTGCTGGGCCATGGCAGCAGCGGACAACATTGAGGCCCTGTGGCACATCAAACACAACCAGTTTGTGGAAGTCTCTGTGCAGGGTATGGCAGGGAGAAGATGTGTGACAGGGAAAGATGGCCTAGGCGCCTACTCACTTACTCTGTCCCTCTCTGTCCCAGAGCTGTTGGACTGTGACCGCTGTGGAAATGGCTGCCAGGGCGGTTTTGTGTGGGACGCATATATGACTGTCCTCAACAACAGTTGAGTACCAGAACTCGTGGGAAGACCGTGGGGATGGAGGGTGTTCAGTAGCCAAGACCCCTTCCTGGTCTTGCTTGTCTTCAGGTGGCCTGGCCAGCAAAAAGGATTACCCATTCCAGGGACGCCCCAGCCCCCGTGGGTGCCTAGCCAAGAAGTACAAGAAGGTGGCCTGGATCCAAGATTTCACCATGTTGAAGAGTAATGAGCAGGGTATGGTCAGGGTGGACACGGGTGTGGGGGTGGAGAAAGCAGACTGGAGGCCTGGCTATGGGAGACACAATTAAAGTCCATTACCCTGTGAGGAGAGCAGCAATCTCGGGGCAGGCAGGGCTTGATGGCGCACTCAAGAATCTCTAGTAATTACCCATTTCCAGTGATTGCAGGCTACCTGGCCACCCATGGCCCCATCACCGTGACTATCAACATGAAGCTACTCCAGGTGGGTGGAACAGGGGGCAGAGAAGGGGCAGACTGGAGTAGGCCCTGGACTCAGTTCCTCTATCCCCCACCCCTGCAGGGTTACCAGAAGGGTGTGATCAAGGCCACGCACACTAACTGTGATCCCCAACACGTGGACCATTCTGTCCTGTTGGTCGGTTTTGGCAGAGACAAGGAGGGCATACAGTCAGGGACAGTCTCATCCCAGGCTCACAAACCCCGCCGCTGGGTCCCATACTGGATCCTGAAGAACTCCTGGGGAGCTGAATGGGGCGAGAAGGTGAGGAGAGTGGGGTGTGGGAGGGGCGGGCTAGATTCTTCTCTGCCTTCTGGCACTGACACCCCCTAATTTCTTAGGGCTACTTCAGGCTATACCGGGGAAACAACGGCTGTGGTATCACCAAGTACCCAATCACCGCTCATGTGGACCATCCGGTTAAGAAGTCACCAATCTCTTGCCCACCTTGAGGCCAGCAGCAAGCACTCAGCCTCTCCTACTTGGCCACTGTCCTCGTCAGCCTGACCCTGAGGTTCTTCCTGGCTTCTCCATCCTCTCTGTATGGCTTCATAAACCTAGATATGATCCCTGGTTCCTGAGTGGTTTCAGTTGGGATGTGGAGAGGGAGGGTCATGATCCAGTCAGTCCCTGAGGTGCTAATACAAACATCCTCAACACTGATGGCCCTTGGAACACATTGGTGCACACTGTGAAAGTCCCCATGCGCTCCTCAACTAGGAACAAGGACCAGTCTCCAAACGTATGGCAACTTTATTGTCAGGGTATGCCGGAGTGGGGATGGGCAAGGGCTTTTAGTCATGTTTAGTCATGATAGAGGCGCAGAAGGCAGCCACGGAGGGTACCCATGTAGCGGTCCCAGAGGGTCTGGTGCCTGCAATGAAAATGACAACAGTAATAGTTGGTGTTCAGTCAACACCGTGCCTGACACACTGCTATGAGTGCTTTCTAGACCTTCGCGCATCAAGAAATCATATATTAATTGGTGTGTATATATGCACACACACACATACATACACATATATAAATTCGAGAGTTTGTTTTTGGAGACAGAGTCTCATTCTATAGCCCAGGCTGGCCTGGAAAACAGCAGCAATCTTCATGCTCCAGTTTCCGAAGTATTTGGATTACAGACTTGAGCCCTCATGCCTGGCTTCCTTTTCCCACTCCCCACACAGTGCTGAGGACTGAACTCAGGCCTTGCGCACGGTGGATGAGCATCCCGTTACCAAGTCACACCCTAGGTTGGTTAGTGTCCTTGTGCACGGTGGATGAGCATCCCGTTACCAAGTCACACCCTAGGCTATTTAGTGTCCGTAAAGTCTCACTAGCCTTCTAGTTTATCCTCATTTGGGAAAGGCAGGGTAGGTAACCTGCCCAAGGTCACAAAGAGCAGGAACTTCTACTCACAGGGTAGTTCAATAGCAAACTCTGAGTCTATTGGAGGGCAAATAAGTTAGCCAGCAGGCCTGGCACCTCTCACCGGAAGCCGTCCAGGGAGTGGACAGATGCTGAATACTGGTTGAGGAAGAGCCGCACGTCATTCAGTGGCCAGTGGTCAGAGCGGCAGGGTTCCACAAACTGTAGAGCCGAGGGAACAAGTAACATCAGCAGAGATGCTCAGAGACAGGACAGGCTGGGGATGGGGCTGTGGTGGGACGGGACTACTCACCTTCTCCACAAGGTCCACAAATAGGTCTCTGACATCTTTATTGTGGGTCAGCTTGGCAGCCACATTCACCAGCCCCCGGGACAGATTCTGTGGGGCAGGGATCTTGGGAGTTCTGTCTTCTGCCCCAGAAGCTGGAGGCTGAGCACTGAGGCTGGGGGAGGGCCAGGCCCCTCCCCAAATCTATCCACCTCCCTCAATCAAGTCCCTTTTGTTATGAGCTTGGATCCCCCTCACAGGCAGATAGAGAGCAGCAGTGCCACCTGCTGGTCAATTTCGGGCATGAGCAGAGTTGCCCAGCAGGGACAGAACACAGAAGGCTCCTGACACTTTAGGGGGAAGGGCCTGGACAGGGTCACAGACCTTGAAGTTGGTTTCCATCTCAGAGAAGACACCCAGCTTTCCCCGGAGGGCAGTACACACCAGGCTGTAGGAAGATATGGTCATACCTATAACCATTGGAGACCATTTTATACCCTGTCTCATGGATTCCCAAAGTCACCTCTTATGCAAGTCTAGAAGGTCCTTGTCAGCTACTAGAACCTTGAGCTCCTTCAAGTCTTGGAGAAACTCCTTGTCTAAGTCCACATCCATGTCGTCCATCTGGGAGTCTGTGGAGACCATGAAAGAAGTTGTGGGTGATGAGAATCCATCTTCTGAGGCCCTGAACCTCCCTCAGCACTCCCTCCCTGGGATCTCAGAGATGGAGGGGAATGATACACCCCAGGCCACACAGTGGTGACAAGGTGTGTGCAGAGTGAATGGACTCTATGGAGAGGTGCTGGGGCTGAGGGCTGAAGGATGCTGGGTACTGTGGAAGCTACAGGAAGAGCTGCTGGCAGGGAATCAGTCCCCAAGAGGGTAGGGAATGTTCAGGCACCTGGGTCAGTGGGGGCCTCACCGACGGCTCCAAGGGTCCAGTTCTGGATCATAAGCTCAGCACAGAAGGCAAAGTCACCGAAGCTTAGGTACTGTAGCTTTTTCTTTCCTGTTTCAAAGCGGTTGTTGGCAAAAAAGACGATGGCTGCATAATCTCTGCAGACAGGGGACAGTGGCTCTCTTAGGACTAGAAATGTCACCTTATCACACACAAATACATTCTCTATACACAGTAAGCTTACTAAATAACTTTTCTTTTTGAGACAGGGTTTCTCTGTAGCTTTGGAGCCTGTCCTGGAACTTACTCTGTAGACCAGGCTGGTCTCGAACTCACAGAGATTTGCCTGCCTCTGCCTCCCGAGTGCTGGGATTAAAGGCGTGCACCACCACCAGCTCCAAGTATGTTTTAAGTGCTTTACAAATGCCTTAACCCTGACCAATTTGATGCAGTTTACAGATCATTAATAGAATAATCCTTCCTTCAGGACAGTCAGAAGGTGAAAGGGTAAGGATGGGGAAGGTGTACCAGTGTAAGGGCTCAAGGAAGTGATGCAGGTAGGAGAGGGCTGCCCCTCACCTAGCTAGGCGGTCAGAGAGGAGAAAGTGCTGCTGGATGTTGTCCACCAGGGAGCCCCGCATTTCTTCCACCACCTTGAAGACTCGCTTAAAATTGTCGAACTGTAGGGCAGTTAAGGGAAGAAGGAGGCTGGTGAGGGTGCTGGGCATGGACTGGGAGGAAGGAGGCTGGTAAGGGTGCTGGGCATGGTGGGGGGCCTCTCCCTCTCCTCTCCACCTATCCAGTGGGCATGTACTGATTTCACACTAGTTACTCCTTCAACAAATGACTTTGGGCTTTGAGACAAGGTCTCATTGTGTAGTCCTGGCTGTCCTGGAACTCACTATATAGACCAAGTTGACCTCAAACTCACAGAGGTCTGCCTGTCAGACTTACAGTTACCTGAGACCACTTTACATCCTGGTACTTCTCCCTTGAAGAAAAGGCTCATGGGTACTACCACAGATGCTACTAAAAAGGTGCACAGATAAGATAGCACCTAGGTCCCTGCTGTGGATTCCAAGGGGTAGATATGGTCAAGAAAACAGTACCTTCTAGGCAGGAGCACCATGAACAAAAACAAGCTTGGGGCTCAAGAAATGTAAGCCTAGAGAGGTCTGTGGGGACACACCCAGAGGCTGTACGTAGAGGACAATGGGAGTCAATGAAAACAACGTATAAGCAAAGGAAAGCCACGGTCTGAACTGAGACTGTGAAAGTCACTCTGGCCAGATGGGAAGTGGATGGAGAAGAGACTCCATAGGAAGAAGTCGCTTCCACAGTCACAGGCTGGAAGTGGAGCCAGGGCACTGGGAGCTAGGGCAGTGAGGAGAAGGTCAAATGGTGGGCTAGGTGGGGTATGGTAGATATGTGGAACCCACCTGCCTTCGGCAGCTCTTGAGTGTAATTCCTGTTTTGGCGCTGATGTCATCCAGGTCTTTCTTGGTACCCTTGGACAGCTTCTTGCCCAAGACCTCCCGAACAAAGGCCTCGTCAAAGGTGTAGTACCTTGTGGAGGAATAGGACATTATTGGTGATCCACTAAGAAAGGGGAAGGAGTCTGGGGTTGGTTCCTTCTGTTCTTAACTTTCTGATTTCCTGGGTATGTCCCATCCTCCCTGAGCCTCAGTTTCACCCTGCAAAGTGGGTATAAAGTCAAACTGATTGACATTTCCGCCGTCCCCCAGGTGAGCACCTCTCGATGAGCAGCGCCTGTCGGGAGGGAGGGATCTGGAAGATGAGCTGGTGCAGCAGCTTCGGTGGCGCGTGCAGCAGCCGCTCGAGCATGTGAAAGGTGCGGTAGTGGTCCATGGTGTCGCTCTGTAGCACTCCTGCGGTGGCGCCGGTCTGCTCCAGGATCCCGGAGCGTACTCGCAGCGCCACCGCATCGTTCACTAGGGAGAGGGCACTACCATAAGGTCCAACCCTGCTGTACCCAGAGCCCTCCAGGGGTTCCAGCTCCAATCCTTCTCCCTCCCTGACTCCCAGCTGACAGTTCACTTCCTTAAGTGAAGCCTAAATCCTGGCCACGCCCCCTCTCCCACCCAAAACAACCGCTTCCCGGGAGGGTGCTACACAGACCTGAGTAACCATCCAGCCAGAGGCGATACACGTCTTCATCTATAAGGGTCGTGTTCCCGACGAAAATGTCTAGTTCGCTGGTCATGGCGATGCCCGGGCCGCGTTCGCCCAGAGCTGGAGCTAGCACGGCCCCGGGCCGGGCAAGCAGCCGCAGAGCCACTTCCGGGAGTGCGGAGATTTCGCTCCGGGCACCCGGAGCCAGCGAAGGACCACTTCCGGGACGGAGTGATAGGAGGAAGCTGCTCTGCCCTCATTTCTCACCCCTGCTAGAGGTTCTCTGTAGAACTCCGGAAAGCCTTTTCCCAGGCTCTCCTGTCTTACAGATTTTCCCATTTCCTTCTTTTGTCTCTTCCATGTTCTCAGGTCTCTCAAAGTCTCCCAATTTTGACCTGTATCCTAAATTAGAATCTTTCTGAGGCTTTATCCTAAATCGCTGAGTGCCTGTGGCTCTGCTTACATAGTCCATCAGACAGATGAGCGTCTTTCTTGTTCCCGCCATGTATCTTATTTTTATCATTTTGAACTATGTGTATGCGGGGGTGTGTGTGGGGGTAATGTGCACGTGAGTACAGTTGCGCTGGGAGACCAGATGTATCAGATCCCCTGGAGCTAGAATTATAGGCAACTGGAAGTCGCCAATGTGGGTGCTGGGAATTGAACTCAGCTCCTCTGCAAGAGCAGTTCTTGCTCATAACCACTGAGCCAACTCTCCAGCCCCCACTATGGTTTTTCAACACATGGTTTTACTACACTCCCACACAAGCTGTGACTTCTCTTGAAGTCTTTCTTTCTTCCTGGAAGGAGGCATCTGCAGGGCCATCTATCTGCTAAGGCTTTCCACTGTCTTCTTTGTCTTTGACACAGGATCCACCAAACCTGACGGGTGGATCTCCAGGACCCACACTGTAAAAAAAAGAACCAACGTCAACGAATTGACGTCTGACCGCCACACATGCATTGTTACACATACACCTAAGTATAATTTACTTTTTAAATTACTAAACCACTAAGGAGGCAGAGGCAGATGGAACTCTGAGTTTGAGGCCGGCCTGGTTGGTCTACAGAGTGAGTTCCAGGACGCCCAGGGCTACACAGAGAAACTCTGTCTCAAAAAACCAAAACTAGGGGCTGGAGAGATGGCTCAGAGGTTAAGAGCATTGCCTGCTCTTCCAAAGGTCCTGAGTTCAATTCCAGCAATCACATGGTAGCTCACAACCATCTGTAATGGGGTCTGGCGCCTTCTTCTGGCCTGCAGGCATACACACAGACAGAATATTGTATACATAATAAATAAATAAATATTAAAAAACTAAAACAAAACAAAAAAGGACTCATTCTATTTTCAAATACCCAGTGTTTAAGAGTCAGCCCCAGGCCGGACGGTGGTGGCGCATGCCTTTAATCCCAGCCCTCAGGAGGCAGAGGTAGGTGAATCTTTGTGAATTGGAGGCCTGGTCTACAAGAGCTAGTTCTAGGACAGGCTCCAAAGCTACAGAGAAATCCTGTCTTGAAAAACAAAATAAAAAACAAAAAAATAAAAGAAGAGTTAGACCTGGGGCTGGAGAGATGGCCCAGATGTTAAGAGCACTGCCTGCTCTTCCATAAGTCCTGAGTTCAATTCCCAGCAATCACATAGTGGCTTACAACCATCCTGTAATGCCCTCTTCTGGCCAGCAGGCATCATGCAAGCAGAACAATGTATACATAATAAATAAATAAATAAATAAACTTAAGGGAAGTAGAGACAGGTGGATCTCTGTGAGTTCGAGGCCAGCCTGGTCTTCAGAGCTAGTTCCAGGACAGTGAGGGCTGTTACACATAGAAACCCTGTCTTGAAAACCAAAAAACAATGAAACAAACAAAAGAAAAGAGTCAGTCCTGAAGCCCTGAAGAGACGGTGGCACATGTCTGTGAATTCATGATAAGGAAGGTGGTCTCTGAATTCATGGGCAACCTGGTCTAGAGAGAGTGAGTTCTGTGACAGCCAGTGGTACACACAGAGAAATCCTGTCCCAGAGGGGGCAAAAAGTCAGCCGTAACAGCAATGTAGTGGCACAGACCTTTAATCCCAACACTCCGGAAGCAGAGGCAGGTGGTGTTCGAGGCCAGCCTGGCCTACAGTGAGTTTTTCTCAGGGCAGTCAGGGTTATACAGAGAAATCCTGTCTTGAGAAAACATAAATTAAAAAACTCTACACAAGCCAGTTTAGCTGGAGCCTAGAAGGCAGGAGGTTCTGGGCATCCTGGTTAACAAGTTTCTCCCTCCACCTCTGTTCCCTAGAAACAGCACTTCTAGGGGCTCTAGAGAGATCTCTCTCACCCCCAGTCAGCATCCTCTCAGTTCTAGAAACCTGGGCTGTCTCCCAGATTCCTCTTTTGAAGCACTCAGAGCTATCGATGTGCCTGCTGGGTGCCTCTGCTATCTGCTTCTTCCTTTCTGCCCACGTACTGGCAGCCTAGTCTTCCTACACAGCTCTCTTTGTTCATTGATACATAGTTATTCATCCTGTGTATACCCTGCTGCCAGAGTCTACCCCACATAGCACAGTTGAAGGCTTCTCTTGGGGTTTGGGGGGACAAAGTCTGTTCCTACAGCTCAGACTGGTCTTGCTATGGGAAGGATGACTCGGAATTCCTGATGCTCCTGTCTACCCGCACCACCCCCCCATCCCCGTTCCTAGTGCTGGGATTACTGGCATATGCCAATACAACTGGCTTCTTTTAACAGTCTTTTAAAAAATGTGTATTTTCCTAGGTGGCTCATGCTTGTAATTCCTACACAAAGAATATCTGTGAATTGGAGGTCAGCCTGGTCTACATAAACACTTTCAGGCCATTCAGGATTACATATTGAGACCCTATATCAAACAAGACAAAACATATTAAAATGTTATTTCACAGTTTAAAATTTATTTATTTGTTTCTTTTTATTTTTCAAGACAGGGTTTCTATGTGTAGTCCTTGGCTGTCCTAGAACTTGCTCCATAGACCAAGCTGGCCTTGAACTCACAAAGATCCACCTGCCTGTGCCTCCCGAGTGCTGGGATTAAAGCGCCACCACTGCCTGGCTCCCTGTTTAAAATTTTTACTGGCCTTTGGAAAGCCTCCAGTTTAGCATTGCAAGTCCTTAGGAATTTGACTTCAAGGCAGCACACAAGCTCTTCAAAGCCCCAGCATCTCACCACTTCCGTTCACCTACAGGTATCAAGATCTCAGAACTATCCTCACTTGTTCCTCACGCAGCTGGGCTTTTGGGGGCACCAATGTCTTTTACCACACTTTCTGCCTCTCTCACATCTGTTCTCTCTATTGGCAATCTTTGGCATTGGTTTTTGACATAAGGTCTCTCTACATAGCTCTGTCTGTCCTGGAACTCTGTTAGCAGTCTTATGCATCTTTTAGGTCCCCTCAGATATTTTCCCAGAGACCACTTCTACATCACATCCTTCTCTTATGGTTCACAAATGTACCAGGGCCTTGCTAGGCAAGTGCTTTAGCGCTGAGCCATATGTTCAGTGTGAACTTGGATGCTCTCCCCCTCTCTCTCGCCTAAAAGATATTCTTATTTCAGATTTTATGTGTGTGCCCATGGAGACTCACAGCTCTCACAACCGGGAGGAGTAAAGGCTGGGTTAGCGGGAGGAGTGAAGTCTGGGTTAGCTCAGGTTCTTTCCAGGAGCAGCACTTCTGAGCTATGTCTCCAGACCCCACTCACAGCTCTTTTCTTTTTTTCTTCTTTTACCAGATTTTGTCCTTTTGGGTCAAGATGAGGATTCTGGTCAAATTTATTTCTGCACAAGGCCTTTCATACAACAAAAGTTTATTAAACAAACAAATTCTTTGTATGGCCCATATGGCAGGCAGGAAACGCTCCGTGGGAGGGAGGGTTGGTTGATAATGAGCCAGGACCTTTGGACTCTGGATTCGGAGTGGCTGGGAGTGATGCTTGAAAGTTCTGGCCAAGGAAGAAGAGCCTGGGAAGCCATCTGTTTTAAGTTCTGTTGCTGGGTGGGCAGGAGTCAAAGGCAGACACCTGAACAACGGTTCTCAAAAAGTGCTTGAGGAGACTTGGGACATGGAATCCCACAACGCCTTTATGTTCTGCGGAGATGACCATAGAAGGGAAGGACAGAAAAAGTCCCTACCGTTAGAGGGTCGTGACACCCAAGTCCGGAGTGGGAAGAGACGAGGCGCTATAGCCTTAGGCTCCGCCCCTTCCCAGGAGACTTTCCGGATTGGCTGTCCTTCTTCAACATCAAGAGGCCCCGCCCCGGCGCGCGCCCTGCCTCGTGCCCACCCCGGGGTGGCTGCTGCATCCTACACTGCCTCCTCCACAGCTTGCCATCCTCAGAGCCAGAGCCCGGGTCGGAGCCTGAGCGGCAACCGGCCCGAGGAGGGGCTCCAGAGCCTCGGCGGCGGGCGGGCGATGCTGCAGCTGCCTGATCAGCCATGGAGGCCGAAGCAGGAGGCCTGGAGGAGCTGACGGACGAGGAGATGGCGGCTTTGGGTAAGGAGGAGCTGGTGCGGCGCCTGCGGCGGGAGGAGGCGGCGCGCCTGGCAGCGCTGGTGCAGCGCGGCCGCCTGATGCAGGAGGTGAATCGGCAGCTGCAGGGTCACCTGGGCGAGATCCGTGAGCTCAAACAGCTCAACCGGCGCCTGCAGGCGGAGAACCGGGAGCTGCGCGATCTCTGCTGTTTCCTGGACTCGGAGCGCCAGCGGGGACGGCGTGCAGCGCGCCAGTGGCAGCTCTTCGGGACCCAAGCATCCCGGGCGGTGCGCGAGGACCTGGGTGGCTGTTGGCAGAAGCTAGCCGAGTTGGAAGGCCGCCAGGAGGAGCTGCTGCGGGAAAACCTGGCGCTTAAGGAGCTTTGCCTGGCACTGGGCGAAGAGTGGGGCCCCCGCGGTGGCCCCGGCAGTGCCGTGGGCTCAGGCGCCGGGCCCACACCCGAGCTCGCCCTGCCCCCGTGCGGGCCCCGCGACTTAGGCGATGGAAGTTCCAGCACTGGCAGTGTGGGCAGCCCAGATCAGTTGCCCCTAGCCTGCTCCCCCGATGACTGAGGGCGCCACATTTTCTACGCCAACGCCTGCCTGAATTGCTCCCCGAGCACGGAGACTGCTGTGGACCGCCAGACCTGGTCGCTGCTTCAGCTGAGCACCAGGGCGCTGGCATGGACTGAATAAGCCCTGGCACTGAGGAGGGCCCCTTGCTCTTGCTGGCAGGGCAGTAGGGGAATGGAGGCTGAAGTGGAGGGACTTAATGGGTGGTTGGGTGGGGACTAATAAACTGAGAAGGAAGCAGAGCCCGAAGCCTGGCCAGCCTATATCTGCAAATCGCCGGGGTTGGGAAGAGGGCGGAAACCCAAAGATGCGGTGCTATTCCCATCCTGAGGGACTGCAGAACTCCTCATTACCTGGAGTTTGGGGTGGAATTTAAGACAGTGGTAGGCCACTAACTCCACCATAGGCGCCGACACAGGCTGAAATCCGGCCCCTGAAGTGGCTCCAGCTCCCTTCCAGGCTCCTTCCTGTCCAAAACAATGGGGCAGGGAGCAGGTGTTGGGGGCCTCAAGCCCACTGGCTGCCTGTTCGGAAGGTGGAAGGGTATAACACAGCCCCTCCCTACCTACCCCCAGTCCTTAAGATAGGAGCAGTGTGAGTCTCCCCCGGGGGAAAACTGATAATCTTGTTTGCTTGCACTCCGGAGCTGTCTCAGTCTCGCAGTACAGAGATGAAGCAGAGCAGAGGTATCCCCATTCTTCAGATGGGGATATAGAAGTTCAAAAATATATGGTGGTTTCTTATTAAGTGGTCACAACTGAGGCTGGAATCTAGAGCCCCTGTTCCAAACGGTATCTGGATCCAACATGACAACTCAGACTAGAGCTTCAAGCCTTTTATTCCATTTTGGAAGGTTTGTATAAAAATAGTCTCTTTAGGAAAATAAATAGCAGCTGCCCCTGATGTGGAGGCTTGGATACCCTGGAACTAAAGGCTTCTCAAAGCTAGGGAGTGCAAGCTCAGCTCATCACAGAAGCCACTGGTGCCTCCCGAGTTGTGCCATTCAGGAGGCGCCTGCAGGATGCCCTGGTGCTGCTGGCAGTGGAGCTGTGTGAGTTAGTGTTCTAGTGGGAGGGCACCTTCTGTCTGGGAGTGGGGCTGGCTGGATCAAATGAAGAAAGTGACATAGTGTGAGAGCAGTCTGTCCAAAAGGGGTTAGAGCTCCAGGCCCAAAGGGGACATATTTTGTCTCTGATTTTGTGCAAATTATGATAGGCCAGCTCTAGAGATACAGTGAGCAGCTTTGGGGACCCCCCAAGCTGGCTCTACATCAAAGCATAATAGTTTGTTCTACTCTGAAGAGATAAAGGACCTGCTGGTTTGGGGCATGCCTATGGTCCAGGCCTGCTGGATCAATGGCAGAAAGGAGATGGCTAGGGGTAGCATCGGCAAGGGGTGTGGCTGGGTATCTCACAAAGCCAGGAGTGTGGGAGAACCCAGGGGGTCGGAGGAGGGGTCACCGCTGCTGCTGCTACTTTTTCGATGAGCTGAGGAGCAAGGTTCTGGTGTGCTAGGGTAGGTGAAAACCAGGCTGGGAGTAAAGGGAGTCAGAGAGGGTGTGGTCATGAGCGTGGGGGTATGAAGTGCTTCGGGTTCAAGCACAGGCCCCGGAGAAAGGGAGATACAAGGTACAGGGCGGCAGGGGGCTGGTGGGCTGCTGGCGCCACTGGTGCTGCTGGTACCACCTGTGTCCTTGTCTCCTTCGGGGATTTTGCAGATGGGGCGATGGGCTTCCAGCACCAGCTCAAGGCGCTCCTTCTGCTTCTGCAGCTCCTCAATTTCCCGCTGCAGGCCCGATTTCTCATCCTCCAGTTTGTCAGTCTCCTTTAGAGGATTAGGAGAAATTTAGGAGGGTGAAAGATCTCCAAGCCTCAGGCTGGAGTGTGGGGGTTGTGCCTGGAGTCCCCAGTAAGTCTGAACTGTAACTCCCATGAGACCCTGAGAGAAAATGGGCATGACTCCTATCAGGCCCAGGGCTGCTTCTTTTTCTTTTTTTTTTTTTTTTTTTCTCCTCTCAAGACAAGATTTCTCTGTTTTCTCTACTTGCTCTATATATATCAAGCTGGCCTGGAACTTCTGCCTCCCGAGTGCTGGGATTAAAAGTATGCACCACCACGGCCTGGCAGGTCCAGGGCTTCAGCAGAATTGCCTACCAACATCATCTCTGCTTCGAGACCCAAGGCAAATTTTTTTTTTTTATTTCAAGATTTTTTTTTTTTTAATGAGAAAGTCCAAGGCAAATTATTTATTTGAGACAGGCTTTTTATCTAGGTAATAGCCCTGGGTGTCCTGGAATTTGCTCTGTAGACCAGGCTGGCCTCAAACTCAGAGATCTGCCTGCCTCTGTCTCCTGAGTGCTAGGATTAAAGGCTTAAAGGCGTGTGCCACTACCTCCCAGCGGCAAATTTTTTTTTAAATATTTATTCATTTATTATGCATACAATATCTGCCTACATGTGTGCCTGCAGGCCAGAGAGGGCACCAGATCTCATTACAGATGGTTGTAGCCACCATATGGTTGCTGGGAATTGAACTCAAGACCTTTGGAAGAGCAGGCGATGCTCTTAACCACTGAGCCATCTCTCCAGCCCGGCAAATAATTTTTAATCCACATTTCCTTATCCTTTTCCCAGGACTTCCCCTCAGACAGGGAGGAGGGTGGGGTATGGAGGAGTAATTTATTGGGTTTCTCATGCTCCTGGGAACCAGGGTCCTCTTAGGCTCGCTGGGCCCGGGGAGGGGGGGGGGGCGCTGGGAACCCTCTGGCCCAGCTGATGCTCACCGCCTGTAGGAAGTCTGTCAGTTCCTTTCTCCGGTTTCTGCACTTAGCTGCTGCTAACTTGTTGCGTTCACGCCTCACTCTGCGGCGTTCTTCCTCCTCGGGGCTGATCTAAGTTGGGAAAGAAAAGAAGGGGAATAGTGAGGCTGATGCTGGGCCACCAGCTGCCTCCCTGGTCTCACCATCCAACTGGGGGCTTTTCCTTCAGCTGTAGTTTGGGTACCACCGTTACACAACTACTTCTCCGTACCAGGCGCTTGTCGCCAGCTAGGTAAACTTTCCAGCTCACACTAGCTTTCCTGCTGGTTTCTTTCCTGTAATGCTTTCCCGCTGCTCCATCAACTTTGACCCTCCTCCCATCCTTCCTTGGCTTAGGGCTCCGCTAAGATGTTGAAATCCTTATTTCTCAGGCATAAGTAGCCTTTCCTCCTGAGTCTACGAGACACCACTATCTCTTTTTATAAGACCCTCAGCCTTCTCATCTGTAGACAATGGAATTTCTTCCTTCCCTGAGGAGCTATGAATCACAGGAGGTGCTCATGAGTGTTAAAAATTACTAGGAATCTACTGTGCCAGCAAAGTAGTTTATAGGATTTTTCTTTGATTCAGTGCTAGGGATCAAACCCACTGCCTAGTACACTAGCTAGGCAAATGCTGTATGGCTGAGTTATACCCCTAGCCCTTACACAGATTCTTTTTGCTTTTTGTAGCTTTGTTTCTTTGTATTTTAGACCTGATCTCACTGTGTAGCCCTGGCTGGCCTAGAGCTTCCCGTGTAGACCAGATGGCCTGGAACTCACAGAGATCCACCTGCTTCTGCCTCCCTGGTATTGGGGTTGAAGATGTGTGTCACCATACCTATCTTACTTGTTTTTTAAAAAAGAGATAAGGTTTCCTGTATCCCAGGCTGGCCTTAAACTCAACATATAGCCAAGGCTGACCTCAGATTCCTGATTGATCCTCTCTGCCTCCACCTCCAAAGCACTAGGAGTGAAAGGTCATGCTTCCCTACATGGGTTCTTGCTTGTTCTTGTTTGATTTTTGTTTGTTTGAGACAGGGTTTTTCTGTGTAGCCCTTGCAGTCCTGGAACTCACTCTGTAGACTAGGCTGGCCTGGAACTCAGAGATCCACCTGCCTCTGCCTCCTGATTTTTGTGTGTGTTTGTTGGCGGGGGGGGGGGTAACATTGGGTGTCTTCCTCAGTTCTCCACCTTATTTTATTTTATTTTTTTCGAGACAGGGTTTCTCTGTGACTTTGGAGCATGTCCTGGAACTAGTTCTTTGTAGACCAAGCTGGCCTCGAACTCACAAAAATTGCCTGCCTCTGCTTCAGGAGTGCTGGGATTAAAGGCGTGTGCCACCACCGCCCGGCCTCCACCTTATTTTTTTGAGACAAAGTCTCTCATTAAACTTCGAGTCTATCTATTTGACTGGACTTGTTGGCCAGTGAGCTACTGGAGACTACCTGTCTCAGTCTGCCCCCTCCCCATGCTGGGGTTACAATAGCTACTCTGGGCCTCTGTGTGGGTGTTAGGGACCCATGCTCAGATCCTCATAGGAGAGTCATTGCCTGACGAACCATCTGCCCGTCTTCCTACATAGTCTTTTTTTTTTTGCTTTTCTTTTTTAAAAGTTTATTTATTTTATACGCAGTGGTGTTTTGCCTTCATATATGTCTGTGTGAGAGTGTTGAATCCCGTGAAATTGGAGTCACAGATAGTTGTGAGCTGCCATGTACCCACATGCTGGGAATCAAACCCAGGTCTTCTGGTAGAGCAGTCAGTGCTCTTAACTGCTCAGCCATCTCTCCAGCCCCTTGTTTTTGCTTTTTCAAGACAGGGCTGCTCCATGTAAAAGCCCTGACTATCCTTGAACTTACAATGATCTCTCTGCCGCTGCCTCCTGAGTGCTAGGACTAAAGAATGTTCCACTATGCCTGCTAGAGTCCTAAAACATCGAGTGTGTGTGTGTGTGTGTGTGTGTGTGTGTGTAGGACACAGGTGTGCCATAGCAGTGTGGAGATCAGAGGACACCTTTAAGGAGGTCAGTTCTCTCCTTCCACTATGTGGGTTTCAGGATTGAACTCAGATCATTAAGCTTGGTAGCAAGTACATTTACCCACTGAGCCATCTGAACCATCTCATCAACACGCCCTACATACAATTTTTTTTTTAAAGATTAAAAAATTTAGTTCAAGGCCAGTCTGGTCTACAAAGCAAGTTCCAGGACAACCCATGGCTGTTACACAGAGAAATCTTGTCTCAAAAAAATTGAAGAAAAGAAAAGATTTAAAACATGTGTGTCTGAGTGTTTTGCCTAAGTGTGTGTATGAGCGCAAGCATGCAATGCTGGTAGAGACCAGAAGAGGGTATCAGAACCTTTGGAGGGAATTAGGGACAGTGAGTTTCCATATGGGTGCTGGTGCCGGGGCCCTGGTCTTCTACAGGAGCAGCCAGTGCTAAC